GTGTTTCCTCCTTTAACTATTACCTCTGTTACTGAATAAGTGTTGTGTTTATTGCTATAAATGTTACTGTTATAACAGAATTTAGAGTACATGTAATTCATTCCTTCCATCACCTAATTTTGTAATTACTCCTAAGGACAGAATCACACATGTATACTYTGTATAAAGGAGGAAAGTACATAAACACTAGAATCTTTGGAAGGAAAATTTCATGCTTTTTGTGTCTACATGTGAGGACACAACTGGCTGGGGAGAGAGACATAGGAAAAAAATCCAGAAAAAGGGAATGACTTTTAAGTTCAAGTTGTCAGAACATTTTTCATTTTTAAATTTACTTATTTTATATATTTGTTATATATAAATTTTATATATTTATGTGGTTCTGGGATGTGAACCCAGGGACCCTTTACCACKGAGCTACATCCCCAAGTAGTTAAGTTGCTGAGTGTCTTGCTAAATTGCCCAGGCAAAACTGTGATCTTCCTGCCTTAGCCTCCTGAGATACTAGGATTACAGGCATGTACCACCATACCCCACAGAACTTTTTTTTTTTTAATGAGTATTTTTTTAAATCAGCAATGCTTTGCATGTATTAAAATTACTGACAAAGATATAATGTTTGTTAATCATAGACTATAATTTCTTGTATTTTGAAACACACATGAGTAAGTACTAGATGTATTTTAATGAAATAGCAAAACTTTCTTTTTTGTACCAGGGTACTTTACCACTAAACCAATCCTCATCCCTTTTTATTTTTTTATTTTGAGACAGGGTTTTGCTAAGTTACTTAGGGCCTTGCTAAGTTTCTGAGACTGGCTTTGAATTTGCCATCCTCCTGCCTCGGGCTCCAGAGTCACTGCGATTACAGGTGTGCACCACCATGCCTGGCTGATGTGTTTGTTTTTTAAAAAACAAACAACCCTATTTTCTCTTTYAACATAACCTCCTTCTGCCTAGTTGAAAAGTAAAGAAATGGCTTTTTGCATTATCAACTATGTGAGCAGGTTGTGAATCCTCCAGGGTTGTCAGGCAGAGAAGGGCTCTGACTGTATTCAGAGGCCTGAGGCTACTCCTTCCCACTACCCCGTGACTAAAAGTAGAGGCAGCTCTGTTCTGATGAGATGGTGCTTGCATTGGTGTTTCAAGGCCAGAGGCATGTATGGGTGTGTGTGTGTGTGTGTGTGTGTGTGTGTGTGTGTGTGTGTATGTATCCATGGGTGTGTGTGCAAATTGTGGGTTAGGGTAGAGCACCTTATCTTAGTTCTTAGGCTATTTATCAGAGAAGGGACATATTAATCAAGTCGTTTCCAGCTGTGGGAGTTGGCTGCTGCTTCTACTGATGACTGCTGAAGCAATCGGGGTGTTGCAATYAGTCTGGCATCTCTCCTCCCTAACAAACAAGTGGTCCATAACTTTTTAGAACTTAGCTCTCCAGTGTCCTTTTAAATGGTAATGTGTGATTAATTTAAAATAGGTACCATTTGCAAATGGTGTTTGCCCACAAAAGGAACCGAGCATTTGGGCACTCTGTTGGATGCCAGTTGAAGCCCCATCTTGTGGGCTCCTATGTGCTGTTATTTCTCTTTGCTCCTGAAATACTTTAAACTTTGGCACTTGGCAGAACAAACTTTGGCTTTTGGTGTTTGATGGTAYGTCAGAGGCATGCCAGCCCCTCCCTTTCCAAGGACTCCAGGACCTCTGAGGCATCAGGTCCTATGGGCAAGCAGTATGTGGCAGTTTGCTTTAGTCCTCTTCTCATTACCCCCAACCTCTTTTCCTTTTAGCTYAGGGTTTGACTGGGGATGCTGGGACAAGGACAACAGTGAAGCTCAGGCAGGTCTGTGTTCCAACAAAACTGAAAAACTGGTCCTTTTCCATACAAGAGGTGCTTTGCCACTGAACTATATCCCCCAGCCCTTTTTATGTTTTATTTTGAGACTGAGCCTTGCCACCCACTTTTCTTCTGCCTTAAATCATCAAGCTTCCCCAGTTACCAGAAACTGTTCTTAACAAAGGATCTGAAGCACATTCCTAAGGTTGTGTAAATTACTGTCAGATATGTAAAGATTTTACCCTCCTAGGGATTTTTTTTTCCATTGGAGCCAGGACCAATACCTCAGAAATGAAGGGTACTCAGTGRGATTTCAGGAATGAGCAATAAGCTAGAAGCAGAGCCTTCCTGAGACCCTTGAAAGCCTTCCTTCTCTGTCTGGAAATCAGGACTGCCTAAGTTAGTGACTGCTACCATGCCACTCTCATTTGTAAGCCTTCAAGAGAAAGGAGTGATGGTTAGCAGACTATTTTCCTGGTTACCCTATCCTGAAGTAAAACCAGGTTGATCCCATCCAATTATAAGTACTCCAAATCAGTGCACCTTTTTTTTTCTGAAGTTCCCAGCCTGCAAATTAGCTTTTAACCTACACAGTAAGGCTGAGTTTTTACCTGTCCTGTTTCAGCTCCCTCCGAGAGGTCTATTCCTGCCATACAAAGTGACCTGTGCTTCTGAGAGTGACGAAAGGTGACAATACACAGTGTCCTCTTCCTTTCTGGTAGAGCAAATGGTATGAACCGATGCTCCAGTTCTTGGGTCCAGACTTGCCTCAAAAATATCCCAACATGATTCCCATGTGGGGGAAGGTAGTTTGCCCTTGCTCCTGCCCCCCTACTCCACTCCTGTAGTGAATCCCTAAAAGAGAAGAAGTACAGCTTTAGTTATCTATATATGATTATCTACATAGAAAGATGGAACAAAATGTATAAATTGACAATCAATTGAAGTGAATATTATGTTTCCCCCTAGATACAAGATTACAAGGTAAGCATACAACAATCACAGTGAATTTCTTCCTTTTTTTTTTTGAGAGTGGGGATTGAATCAAGGGGTGCTTTGCCACTGAACTACATCCCCAGCCCTTTTTATGTTTATTTTGAGAATGAGCCTTGTTAAGTTGCTTATGGTCCTGCTAAATTGCTGAGGCTGGCCTCAACTTATGATCTTCTTGCCTGAGCTTCCTGAATCACTGGGATTGTGGACTTAATTACACTGCTTTGCTATTGACTCTCTGAGTTTTAGAGAGATTTCATGAAATAGCTAGGTGTGGTTCAATTCCCAGTACCAAAGAGAGAAAGATAGATTTTATAAAACAAAACTTATTTTTATTTAAGTTGTATATGTGTGGTATGGAGGTTGTACCCAGGGCCTCACATATGCTAGGTGAGCACTCTACTACTAAACAACAACCCTCCCCACTCCTTTACTCAATTTTTTATTGCAGGGTCTTCTCCCTAGGACTCAGGAAACTGAGTCAGAAGGGAATGTAAATGACACACACCATACTCCCCACACTGCTGTATGGCCTGTGTATCTTTCTTCTACCCCTCATCATGTTCTTCTGTTAGGATGAATCCTTTCTTGAGGCATTACAGGTCCTTACACAAACAGACTTCCTTCAGGCTGACTCACCTGCTTCTCAGACAGACCAGCACATATCTGAGGTTAACTCAGTGCTGTCATCTTGGGATCTCTGCTAAATGCTTGCCTGGTTGCAGGTATGTACTGGATGCCATGACTCCACAAAGAAAGAAGTGGGCAGCTCTTCAGAGGATTGGATGGGGATTGAGAAGAACTAGCTGGGACCCAGAGGAGGCATTGCTGAGCTGAGTCTGGAAAAACAAGTAGATTTTCTCTCTGCAGTTTAAGGGCTTGAAGTCTGACTCCACCATTCATCTGCTATTTGATCTTGGAGTTTCTAATAAGCAAAAGAGACTTATGTAATACCTACCTCACACAGCCCAGAGGGTTAAATGTAGTCATGTATATGAGAGCTTCACAAAATAAAGGGTAACACTGATTATTATAATTACTGTAATGATTTCAAGTGCAGTTGCTTTACTGGCAGCCAGCCTGTCTTGAGTTGTCACTTTCTCAAACATGGGCAGATTGAACACCTGGTGTGGGGATGACAACAGAGTGTTGAGGATTTAAAACAGGATGACAGTGTTCTAGATGCAGCACAAATTTAGGTGAATACTGGGAGTCTGGAAATTTGGGGCATCCCACTTTTGCTTAATATTTGAAATTATAGGATGTAGAAAGTGATAATGGTGACTGAGGCCCATGTTCCTATATAAGTAGTGATGCTACTTTTTGAGTGTCTGAAAGAGCGAAGTTGCATCAGTGGTGGAGATAATCAATTTTGCAATTGTTTTTGTCAAGGAACAGAAGATGGAGTGCTCAGAGTTAGTCTCTTGTGCATAGGTAAAGATAAAAGGAAGGCGAAGCCTTTACCATTTATGTATGATATATCAAGTGCATAAATGTATTCTGCTGTCATATATAACTAATTAGAAAAAATTACAAAAAAAAAAAATTTAAAAGGAAAGAGAAGCCCAAGAAACACAGCAAGGTTATTTCTGGGGGTAGCATCTGGGAGGCTGAGGTAGGAGGCAGGGTATTAATAGCTGTCACATAACCTTCACTAAAAGTGTTTTTCTGGTTCCATGAAATTTCTGGTATAATCTTCTTAGCATCCTTTCATGAAACCAAATTCAATAGATACACAGAAAGTACAGTAGAAAAGCAACCACAGGAAGACCATAACTTACTCTATAGACTTCTTCCAAGGCAGTTCTTGGAGTTGGCTCATCAGGTCAAAGATAATGTCTTAAAGATTCAGATAACTGTGTGTGAACAATGAAACYTCAGTTCTGTTGTGGGCGAGAATAAGAACCATGGACATCAGAAAGAGGCAGCTTTGGGATGAAAGGCCATGTTTATCAAACTTTTCCCCCAGGACAGATTTCCAGTCCATTCAGGTGGGTTAATATTTGATCCAGTCATGCCCAGGGAAAAGGTGAATGACTCTCCTCGTTTGTCTAAGAGCAGGGTCCTTGGTTTGCTTGTCTCTGCCAGGATTTGGGACCTTAGGTCAGTTTTCCCACCCCTTCATGTGAACACTATATAATCAGAACCAGGAGGGACCTCTACGTTCACACAGCTGGAACTCCTCTCCAGGAAGAACAGCCAGATCCATCTCTAGTTGGAGGGAAACTGCCAGATTTTTGTAAGATTCTTCCTCCTGGGTAATCTATTGTTATATTTCTTTATATACTATTTCTAGTCATTCATCCATTTCAATGAAATGCTTTATCCCTTTTTAAGATCTCTGGGACCAAGTTGATGAGATAAAAAGAAAAAAAATAAGACTCTCAAATTTAAAATGTAAACAGTTTTCTTTGGGGATAACCTGTATGTGTATAATAGGAAATTAGTGGGATTGGGAGCAAGTGGAGGTTTAAGGCCATTCCTAAATTGTAATAAAATCCCCAGAGATCTGGAAAGCCATTTGTTAAAGGGCATCTGAAATACTTATGCTCCTGCCCCCATTATAAGCATTATATGTGGTTTAAGGAGAGATACAAAAAGTATGCTTTCAGCACTGTTTCCTTCTAACATCCTGAACAGATTTCTTTACTTAGAAAAGTTTTGGAAGCTCTTTAAAAACAAAGTGGAACACTTTGTTTGGGATCAAAAGAAGGTACACTGGCCAATTGAAGGGAAGAAACAAGAGAGTTAATGGGAGGAAAATGCATTTAGTGTTATTGTTTCCCTCAGGAAGATATTGCCCTAGAATGTACAAAAGGGCCAGACTACATTTATGAAAATGATAACCATAATTACTCATCATAAACTGTCATGTTAACTCGCTAGTACCTAAAGGTTGGTACAGCCCTTGGATACAAAACATTACCTTTGAGAAAAGGATGGGGATATTAATTGTTATGAAGACTTAGGGATTAGTTTGAGATAAAAGATAAAGGAGTCTGAAGAACATTGGGACATATTCCACTGATAAAAATGAACTGACAGTTCCATGTTTGGGTATAGATGCATATCTGAGTAAAGCTCTGTATGTATAATACACCAAAATACATTCAGATCCTTGGCCTAGGCGGATTCATTTCTACCTCACAAATAATCTGGCTCTTACTTGTTTTCTCCCAATTCCATTTTGCCTGGTCTTGGGAAATTTGGGGTTGAACATGTAAATGAGGAGGTTGAATATGTGAGGAGGCAGATTGTAAATATCACTGGTGTGGTGTGTGCTGATTGGGCTTTGGTTTCTATGTGTTTTAGGGAGTCAAGATTACAATAAAACTGAACAGTCCGAATTACAAAATGAGTTTAYGAATTCTGCAAATTGGAAACAAAGTTACCCCTCCCCCTTGCCATATTAAGACCTGAGGGCTTTCACACTCCAAAGAGTARCCTGTGTTTTAGGAGGTAAAGCCCTCCTATAGTATCAGTCTAATGYCTTAACTAAAGATGATATGTGGACTTGTCTTATACACCTAGCTTTAAGAGATGATGCATCTCAGTAAGACAGGACTACAGATCACCCTATTACCAGTTTCTGATACCCTTATGGTCAGATTATCATTTTCTTCTTCCTCTTCCTCCTCCTCCTCCTCTGCTAGCTGGTGCCTTATGCCACCAACCAAACTTACATAAATCTGTCTCTACAATTCCATTGCCATTGGACTTATGCTACTGATACAGGTAAAGACTGTTTTGCCTAGAACCATGGACTTTCTGACTTTAGAGTTAGCAACTCTTGTTTTATAAATGAAAAAAACCTATGCCTGAAGAGGAAAATGAAATCAGTCATTTAGACAATATTGCCTCTCTATTTGAGGCAAGCACAGGATTCAAGGTAAATAATGTGGGCCCTGCCCTCCTGTAGATTATACACCAGTAGGAAACACTGACAAGTAAATAGTCTAATGTTTGTTCAAGATCACATGAGTCATAGCATTCTTGGAAATAGCACCCATAAAACCTGACAACAGGTAAATCTATTTTGTGATGCCCTATGGTCAGATTATCATTTTCTTCTTCTTCTTCCTCCTCCTCCTCCTCCTCCTTCTCCTCCCCCTCCTTCTTCATTCTTTTTCTATGTACATGACAATAGAATGTATTTTGGTATATTATACATCATGAAGTATAACATTCTAATTAGGAATCTATTCTTGTGGTTGTTCATGATACAGAGTTACCTTGGTCCTATGTTCAAATACAAGGAAATTTATGTGTAATTCATTCTACCATACTTCGTATTCCCTTCCCTTCGTTCCCCTTTGTCTCATCCAATGGACTTTTATTCTTCCCCTCCCCACGACCATTGTTGTGGGTTAGCATCCACATATTAGAGAGAACAGTCTGTCTTTGGGACACTGGCTTATTTCACTTAGCATAATATTCTACAGTTCCATCCATTTACCAGCAAATAATTTCATTCTTCTGAATGGCTAAAGGTCTTCATGGTCTTAATATCTAAAGCATAGAAAGTTTGGACAGAAACTCAGCAGGGCTGCCAGCTCAGACTYCCTTATGTGAACATTAATATACCCATAACCTGTATATTGGCACCTCTAAGGACCAACTGTTGTTCTACTTGAGGGAAGACATTACTAACATCCCTAGCCACCACTACCACCTAATGGCTCTTTTGAGTACTATCTGCCCTTGTTCTGCTTCCTAATTTTTGAACTCAGGGATTCTGGTACCAGAGGGATRTTGACTATGTGACCTCTATGTTCCTCTCCAATCTTGAGAACTTGATATTTTACAGTTGCCTGTGACGTTTGAAGTCAATATTTGTCCAATATACRGCAATATATTTAATTGATTACAAATCAGTGAAAGGGATAAGATTAAAAAAAAAAAAACAGAAAGAGAAAACACACCCAGGAGACTGAAAAGCACAGTATAAATGTGAAGAACTTGTCACACAGGTAGCAAGGTACCCCAGCCATGTGTAAATACTTGTTATTATTTTAGGTATTTTAGGGGTGGCTGTCACTTTTGCAATCATTGCCACATTCTTGGTAAATTCCAGAACACACTTTTACTTGATTCTCTTACAAATTGTAGTCTCTTGCTTAATGGAAACTTTTTAAACTGCAATTTATTTCCATACTGTGAAATAATTAAAAGATTCCTTGGTGTCTAACTTGGCATTCTTCAACAATGTACCAAATTTGTCTACAGTTACCATGAAACAGACAAGGAGGATCAATGCTTATTAGAAAGACAGCTTGCTTTCAATCATAAATTAAATGAGTTATTGGTAGACAAATTACTTAAAAATAAAGGTTCTAAAACTCAGTTAAAATTTTACAGTGAAGGGCTGGGGATGTGGCTCAAGCGGTAGCACGCTCGCCTGGCATGCATGCGGCCTGGGTTCGATCCTCAGCACCACATACAAATAAAGATGTTGTGTCCACCCAAAAACTAAAAAATAAATATAAAAAAAATTTACAGTGAAAAGCCATTTTTATTTATTTATCCAAAACTAATAATAAAAATAGCAGCATTTATAGATATTTGATATGAGATGGTATAGATCTATGGTGTTTTTTTAAAGGCTCGGAATGGTTTGGGTTTTGTGGGTTTTTTGGTTTTTGTTTGTTTTTTTTTTTTTTGGTACCAGAGATTGAACCCAGGGGTGTGTGCTTAACCACTGAGCTGCATACACAATTCTTTTTTCTTTTATTTTGAGACAGGGTCTCACTAAGTTGCTTAGGGCCTTGCTAAGTTGCTGAAGCTGATTTTGAACTTAYAATCCTCCTGCCTCAGTCTCCAGAGCTACTGGGATTACAGGCATGCACCACCACACTTGGTTGAATGGTATTTAAATTTTTCTTCCAAGAACTAAGGTTACTGTCAGAAACTACTTGCTGCACGCTGGGCATAATGACACACACCTCTGGTCCTAGCTACTTAGGAGGCTGAGGTGGGAGGATCACTTGAGCCCACAAATTTGGACCAATCTGGGCAACAGAGCAAGACCCCATCTCAAAAAGCAAAACAAAATAACAACATCAGAAAAATACCTTTTACAAATGCCAAAAACCTTTTAATTCTCAAAATTTCAAATTTTGTAAGAAATAAAATCTCAGAAGTTTGTGTCTGTTTTCTATTTTGTTATAATCCACATTTAATTCTATTTTCAATGATCTGTCATTGAATTAAAGTCATGTTCCAGGAGGAAGTTTATCCTATAGCTGCGTTTGAGTCACACACATACCCACACACACACCCCCATATACAATGGTGTGTGAATTCTACAGTTCAAGGCTATTAGCTCTTGACAGATGGTGGCAGGGATCGTCTTCTCTTTTTCTTTTCAGAATGATGTTGAGAAAAACATTTTAGCCAATTGCAAGTCTTTTGACCTTATGAAAAGATCTTAGGAATTTTTGTTGTCTGTTTAGTTTAGTTTTTTACCACATGGTAACATCATTTGCCAATTGTGGGACAGTTTATGTACATATGCAGAGAGAACTAGAAAATATTCTCTAGAATAATTCAAATTCCCCCAGTGTGAGAAGCCCCTCAGAATAAACTTGAATTGCCTTTTCTGCTCTGTGGGAATTAACCTCGGACTCACTTCCAAGCATTGCATGGTTTCTTCCATGCTCCTCCCTGTTCTTTCTTTAGAGTATAAAACAATTCTGCCTTAGGCCATGAACCACAGACTTCTTAGAGAAGTGGAACTGCCTCTTTTCACCTCTAGGTGACATCACTCTCCACTGCTCTTCTCATAGAGAGATGATTGATTAAAATATATGTCCAGGAACCCATCTAAAGCAGTACTCAGGTGACCTTTTTCTGGGCTCAGGATCCCTTAAAAGTCATCCTTCATAGCTCTCACACGAGTATTGTGGTCTCATCTCAGCAAATTGGAGCTGTCACATTCCTATTTAGGTTGGCATTTGGTGTGTCTTTTCTTTCTCTGTTTTAGGCAAGGTCTTATATCTTACCCAGGCTGGCCTGGAGCTCCTGGGCTCAAGTGATCTTCATCTTAATGGTCTTTAATGTCCTAAGGTCTTGCACAGTGCCCACACCCAGAAGAGACTTATATAATGTTTGGTATTAAATGAATAAATTAAGAGTGTGAATGGATTTTGTCACACTATGACTGATAGAAAGGCAAACACTCAGTGATCCTAATAGATAAGGAAGAATGGCTGGGGTTGGAAGTTGTATTAGGAAAACTATTAAATAGACTTTCCAAAGAAATGGATTAACCCTAGGTAGTAAATTTAGCGAGGAAGACTAAAGAAAAGCTGTAATTAGGTGACTGAGGATGCCTGAGACATGATGCCCTGACAGAGAGAAAATTACCTGTCCTTTTAGCCTAATTTGGAATGAAGATATGTGCCCCTACCACTCCTCCTTTTGCCCTTGGCAGGAACCTCTGTTGGAAGCGATGGTGCTGGGCCTAGGCCCTTTATTGTTGGTCTTCATGCTGGGTCTGGTTGTGACCCCACCGACCCTGGCTCAGGATAACTCCAGGTACAAACACTTCCTGACCCAGCACTATGATGCCAAACCAAAGGGACGGAATGACAGATACTGTGAAAGCATGATGGAGAGACGAGAGCTGACCTCACCTTGCAAAGACACCAACACCTTTATTCATGGCAACAAGGGCAACATCAAGGCCATCTGTGGAAATAGAAATGGAAACCCTCACGGAGAAAACTTAAGAATAAGCAAGTCTCCTTTCCAAGTCACCACTTGCAAGCATGCAGGAGGGTCCCCTCGGCCTCCATGCCGGTACCGGGCTACAGCAGGGTTCAGACACATTGTTATTGCCTGTGAAAATGGCTTACCTGTCCACTTTGATGAGTCCTTTTTCCGTCTATAACCAGCAGRCCACTGCTGGCCACTGGCCCTGAGCTGGTTTTGCTTTCCTTTCCTTGAGCTTCCCCTCTATACTTCAGAAYAGTGACAGCAGTATTCACTTCCAGGCGCCCAGAAAATAAGCCATCTGCATCTTTTGTGTTTTACAACCTATGTTTAATAAATAAAAATGTCTCTGAAACCAGTAAGAATCACTCAACTGCTTCCAAAGAGGATAGAATGGAGTAGAAACATCTTTTTCTTTATCACCAGTTCCCCATCAGTCAATGGGGAGGTATACTTTACCTTTGTGGGAGGGTAAAGTTGATAAGCTCATCTATAGAGAGAGCTGGGAAAACTCTAGGGCTTACAGTTTTAAGAAGAATTTTCAAGAGATGAAAATTGTTTTTTTTTTCTTTTAAGAAATGAGCCAACATTAATCTCACAATTATGAGACCTTGGGAAGAAAGTTTAAAACCAACTACCAATACATCGATTATTAATTATGCTTTCTATCTCTCTCTTTCCTTTTCCTCTCTCTCTCTCTCTCTCTCTCTCTCTCTCTCTCTCTCTCACACACACACACACACACACACACACACACACACACACACACAAATGGCTCTTTTCCAGGAAATCACATGGTTATGGGAAGAGGCTCTGTTCTGCTGAAGTTAGAACCCAAGTACCAAGTGAACCTTCAGAAGCGTGTTTCCATTGGTCTGGGAAGTAGAGTATATCAAGCGTCAGCTCTTCCTGCCACTCTTCTTCCCAGAACCACTTTACTTCCTCTCTTTCGAACACAATTATCTTGTATCTTCAGCTGTAATCAAAGGAATAGGATATAGAGGTTGTATCATTCTGTACAAAGGCAAAAGGTGACTATGAAATAAGAGGTGACGTTTAAAAGAACAATAGTTATGTTTGGTAGTGGTCACTATCACCAAATCAAAGGATGGAGTAGTGGTGGAATGAAGTAGTCCCTCATAAGCCATCACAGTCACTCACATGGTGGGCTCTACCCTCAAGAAGCAGGATCTCTGAAAAGAAAGAACAGTAGCTTAAGGCTGGGGATATAGCTCAGTGATAGAGCACTCATCTAAGCCTATTTGTGCAAATCCCAGGGTTCCATCCCCAGCACTGCCAAAAAAAAGGGACAGGTATCCATATATGTCAAACAAGGAGTTCAGCTGGGGCCAGACCTTGAACTACACAGGTAGAGATGCATCTGTTTGACTCTCAAAAAACTATCTTTGCTGCTTCAGATTGCTCACTTCCTTTCAAATCAGAGCTGATTCCTCCCCAACATCCCCATTGCCACCAGTAGAATCAACTCAGACCAGCGTCACAGTTCAAGTCAATTCTAGGAGTGACTGCCAGATGGCAGTATTGGTCTAGTCAGAGTTGTCAAGTGATTTACACCTCCATCCCTGAAACCTCAAGGGAGAGAAGCAATTCTGAGCATGTCTTTAATATCCTAATTTAAAACACACATGTATACTTACATGTATGAAATCATATGTATGTATGTATATACACATATGATTTCCAAAAGGACCTGATTTTATTCCACTTGGAGAATAGTCATATGAGAGCAAAGGCTAGTCTGAAATTTTACTCTATTCTCTTTTCTCTACCTCCCTCAATTCCTAGATGTAAGCTATTCAAATTGGTGCATAAACTTTCTTTGACCTGAGTTTGTCTAAACTGTTGGAGCTTCCAGTAAATCAAACATTCCCCATACCAGGTAATTATATCACAAGACAATTCCAGTTCTGTGTAGATTTGCATTTCCTCTTTTTGTACCTGGACCACACAGGCTTGGACAGCCACCCAGCAAGTTCTGTTCTGGTTCACTGTAGAGCTTCTTTCTGGAAAAGAGAGTTTTGCATTTAGAGAAGTGCCATGTTGGAAAATTGTTCACTCGGGGGAAAATGAGGATGGGAAAAGTTGGGAGCAGAAAAGAGTGGGCAGATGGTACATAAAAGAAGGGGAAAGACGGGACTGTGGCGTCAAGGAAATGTCAACGTGTCATTCTCAACCCCTCTCTCCAGAACCCAGTTCTCACTGTCCCTTCTCCTGCCTCTTGCTTTCTCTAGRCACCACTAAGGCGGTGATGGCTCTGCAGAGGACCCACTCATTGCTTCTGTTCTTGCTGCTCACCCTGATAGGGCTACAGCTGGTGCAGCCTTCCTATGGCCAGGATCGMATGTACCAGCGGTTTCTGCGGCAACACGTGGACCCTCAGGAGACAGGTGGCAATGATAACTACTGCAACTTGATGATGCAAAGACGGAAGATGACTTTACATCGGTGCAAGAGCTTCAACACCTTCATCCATGAAGACATCTGGAGTATTCGCAGCATCTGTAACACTGAAAATATCCAGTGCAAGAACGGCAAGATGAACTGTCATGAGGGTGTAGTGAAGGTCACAGACTGCAAGGAGACAGGAAGTTCCAGGACCTCCAACTGCAGATATCGGGCTAAGGCAAGCACTAGGCGGGTGGTAGTTGCTTGTGAAGGTGACCCAGAGGTGCCTGTGCACTTTGACAGATAAATGTCATCCTTGGGTGCTATATAGCCAGTGATTGGCCTCTGATTTACTCCAAGAATAGCAATGAGTAATGCATTTAAATTGTTTTGGACTCTGTCTCCTCTGCTCATTACTTACACTTTCCCTCTATGTAACCCATTTTATTAAGTATCCAAGAGAAATGGAGGCAAACTATGGTGAGTCCAGGCTTTTCTATTACAAGCTTCTTTATAAAAGACAAGTCAACTTAGCTGTTTCAGATCCTATACTCTGGAATTGAGTCATTATGTRTATTTATATCACATTTCAAGCATTTTAAAGTACTTTCTTCTCAGTTATCTCATTTTCATACCCCTTGTACCTCTTTGATGCTGACAATGCTGTTAAGGGAATTTACTGAAGACCATTAAGTTAGTGGAAGATCTGAGACAAAATTTCAGTTGAATTGGCTCCTCATTCGGGGCTTTTTCTGTTCATTATAAGGAGTGTTTTGAAAGTGTCTGCTTTTTATTATTCCCAAAATTCAGCTGTTTGGGGAGTCATTAAATGTTTAGAAATAACATACTGGTAAAATTAGAGCTCTGTGTGATTTGACCTTGTTATGTTTGTGTCTGATTATATCAAGGAATGGTATTAGAAAATTTCTCTTTTTCTTTGCAAACTTTTGATTCATCCTAAGATGTTAGGGTATTAAAAATGTACTAGATCATTAAGATTAACTTACTCTTAAAGTCAGGCATAGTGGAACAGGCCTGTAATCCTACCTACCTAGGAGCCTGAGGCAGGAAGATCACAAGTTGAAGGCCAGCCTGAATAACTTAGTGAGACCCCCATCTCAAAATAAAAATTAAAAAGGGCTGGGGAATGTAGCTCAGTGGTAGAGCATCCCTGGGTTCAATTCTCAGAACTGAAAAAAAAAGACTTCCTGTTTAAAAGATTTTTCATGTTTCCCTTGTAATTGTAATAAAAGACTTAATCTGCAAGTATCTAAGGGGATTTTTTAATTTTTACTTATTATTTTTATTTATTAATTTTTCTCCTATACTCYAAGTTCTGGTCTTCCATATATACACCTGAATATCCTCATACATTCTGGCCAGAATGCACATCAGATCCATGACCACAGCATAGAAACCTTTATCTTGTTTATTTCAGAAGAAGTGATTCATCTCAAAAACAAGTCTCACACCCATTCCCTCACCCTTTGGAGATTCAGAAATAAATTGGAGAGCAGAGATATACGAAGATGCTACCTGCAAGGAGGGAAGTGTGTGGGGAGGGGAGAATAAATTGAAAATATTTAAATAACAGAAGATACAGAAAGAAATTTTATTGGAACTCCCTTTATCTGATTAATGCACAGCTTCCTGAAAATACAGCCAGTATTAACTTCCCTCCATGGGAATCTCCAGGCAGGAGATATTCCAAGACAATTGTACAAATAAACCTTACCTGAACCTTTCATTTATACTCTCTAAAAGTCCATTTGCTTTCCCAGAGAGCACTTCCTCTCTCTAAAAGCACGTCAGTGCCCCAGTGTTTGAAACCTGTGGAGGGGCTTGGTGGTGTGGCAACAGTACTTGCAGGGACAACAGAAACCATTTCACTCCATTGCAGAGTTCAGACATTGCTTCAAGATCACAAGCATCATGACAAATTCACAAACACTTATCAGGCTTTCCAGTCACTGAAATGCCATGGAATTGGAGAGTATTATTGAAGTTTGGTGCCTATTCATTTCCATAATGGATTCAGCAAAGTTCTTTTCTTTGGACTTCAAAGTTCCATTAAGGAGCATCAGCCTGCTGCAGTGATTCATGATGCTCTTTTAGTCAATGACCTTATCTGTGGAGGTCTGTTGGGTRCCATGGTGGGATTCTTGGTTTGGGGATATTTTTTCCCCTCAATTAATGTTGTAAAAATTCTTATACAGTCTCAGATTGGTGAAAAATTTTAATCTTTCCTCAAGGTTTTAAAAACAAATCAGGGTAGAATAGGACAGGAGACAGACAAATCTTTTCAGAGGGGTCCACCTGAATGACCATGGGTCCCTTATCTCTTGGCGCATAATCAATGCCACTTACGAGTGGCAATGCCACTTACGAGTTCTTGTTGAAGGTTATATGAAAAAAGTCATTGGTGAAGTTCCATTTATCAACTAAATAGACCTAGAAATGCAGTTTGGTCTTGTTCCTAATTGACTCAAATTCAAGTTGGTGTCATTAAGTCCACGTCTCAGGAATTATGGGCAAAGCTACTTTCTTTAAGCTTCAACAACAAGAACAAAACAATAAAAGGTTTCAGCAGGAAACTTAAAAAGAYAAGAAGGGGTAGAGGATAAGGAGGAGGGGAAGGAGGAGAAGAAGGAAGAAGAAAAATATAATCTAACTTATCCCTTCATCCTAGCCCTCCCACAAGTTATGAATAGAACCAGTTTCCTTTCCTCCTATTGATCTGTCTACTGTTGATTCATAGGTCCTTGACCATAGAACGTTGGTAGATGGAGGGCAAGGTTTTCCTCCAACAGTTTGTCAATATATGAGTAAGGACAGCCAGGCACAGTGGCAACATCTATAATCCCAGTAATTTAGGAAGTTGAAGCAGGAGAATTGCCAAGTTTAAGACCAGCC